TTTACTTGAACGAAGACTAACTACCAAACTATGGCTATTCAAACTTGTCTACTTGGCATGTATTTTCTAAAAAAAAAAAAAAAAAAAAGAAAGAAAAAGAGCCTGCCATTTCAATGAAAACAATTGACAGTATTGCTTGTCAATGGTAAAATTCATGTTTCCTAATGAAAATGTGAATTTTGGGAAGCTTGTACCCACCACCACAATCTTGCCCAGTATCTAAAGATGTTTCTGATGATATGCATGATGCTATTAACAAGTGTGATTTTTTTTTTTAATGTTCTATAATGTGTCAACATTTAGAAGATCTGTGAAATATGTTGAAGCCATATTTTCCAAGTGACTAGTACATGATGTATAAAATCGTGTGTGGGTAAAAGATCCACCCAAAATGTTAGACAGACCAATCTATTTGAATATATCAGTATTAAAAATCATTAATATAGTTCGGATTTCATATTGCAATTAGTCTTTAAGAAGCTCCTACTTGTCAAGATTTGGCAAACCACCAAGAGGAGTGTCCACACTGTTCTGAAAATCTTTCTGCTTTTCCAGCTACTTTCCCCATGTCTGCATGCACCTCAACTAAAACAGCATATGGTACCAGTCTGGGTGCGGAACAGATACTAGAATCCAGCTGTCTGCTGTTAATAAGCAAGCCATTAAAGAGATTTGCAGAAATGCTAAATAATAATTGAGAGATAATTTCTTAACATGGTAAACGTGTACATATGTGTTATATCTTAGTTCAGGAAGCAGTGTCTTACTAAATTGAGAAACCTCTGAGACATCTCCACTAAGATCAGGAACAAGGCTAGAAATGCCCACTGTTTCTACTGCTGTTCGACTGTAGGGGAGATGTCATCCCATACAATCAAATAAGAGAGATCACAGGCAAAAGAATCCATACAAAAGAAGGAAAACTATCTCTGTTTTTAGATTATATACCAGTACACTTGGAAAAGCCTAGTGAATTAGTGATAAAACTAAAATAACTCAGTGAAGTAGCACAATGCAATGTTAATATGCAAAAAACAAAAGCCTTCATATACGTAAACAATAATCAGAGAGCATGACGGTAGAGAAAAAAACCTTATTCATGATAGTAACAGAGAAGATTAAATACTTAGTAATAATTTTCATAAGGACCAGTACTTAATAAAGACAAGCACTAATACAAAGAACAGGTACATATGAGGAAAATTTCAAAACACTCCCGAAAGACACAAATGTGGCTTAAACAAATGGGAGATTCCCTTATTCTTGGGTAGGGCAAGTCAAGGCTATAAAGATGTTAGTTCTCCTGAAGTTAATTTCCACATTCAGGGCAATCAAGCTATTTTATGTGGTCAGATAAGTTGATACTAAAGTTCATGCAGAAAAATACACCTTCAGGAATAGCCAAGAACACACTGAAAAAGACAAACTGCAGGGAGGACTGGTCCTTCCTGACGTGAAAGCACACAGTGAAGCCCCTTTAATGAAAGTGCTGCAGTGCCAGTGCCGGACAGACACCGGCCGTGGAACAGGAGGTCCGGCATGTGTGAGGACGTGTTACATGATAAAGGTGGGGCCTCAGATCACTGCATTTTTGTGTGTTTATTTGGATTATTTAAGTTATTTATTTATATGCCTTTGGCTCTTTTATTTCAGCATATTACAGGGGTACAGATTTCAGAGCTTCGAGCATGTCCATTCCCCATACGGTGTGCGCCCCGCACCCATTAGGTGTGAATATGCCCCTCCCCCTCCTCCTCTCACTTGCCTGATACCCGATGAATGTTACTACTATATGTGTACTTAAGTGTTGATCAGTTAATAACAATTTGCTGGTGAGTACATGTGTCGCTTGTTTTTCCATTCTTGTGATACCTTACTCAGTAGAATGGGCCCCAGCTCCATCCAGGATAACACAAGAGGTGCTAGATCACCATTGTTTTTATGGCTGAGTAAAACTCCATATACCACATTTTATTAATCCACTCATGTACTGATGGACATTTTAAACAAATATTAGGGAGGCAACTGGATAGCCATTTAGAAAAAGGTAAAATTAGGTAACTATCCCCTACCCTGCATAAGAATAACTCCAGGTGGATTAGGGATCTAAATGTATAAAAGGAAACCATAGGCTGGGCGTGGTGGCTCACACCTGTAATCCCAACATTCTAGCAGGCCAAGGTGGGAGGGAGGATTGCTTGAGCTCAGGAGTTTAAGACCAGCCTGAGCAAGAGCAAAACCCTGTCTCTACTAAAAAAAAAAAAAAAAAATAGAAATTAGCTGGACAACTAAAAATACACACATATATATAAAAAAAATTAGCCGGGCATGGTGGCGCATGCCTGTAGCCCCATCTACTCTGGAGGCTGAGGCAGGAGGATTGCTTGAGCCCAGGAGTTTGAGGTTGCTGTGAGCGAGGCTGACACCACGGCACTCTAGCCCAGGCCACAGACTGAGACTCTGTCTCAAAAAATAAATAAATAAAAGGAAACCATGAAAGCGTCACAGGGAACAAGAGTGAATTTTTCTTTAACCTTTATATAGAAAGTAGCTTTCTGACCATGACTCAGACTCCAGAGACAATAAATTATTGATAAATCTGACCACACACAGTTTTGGAAATTTTAAAATCATCGTAAGCAAAGGCAAAAAACGGAACCATCTTGGAAACCATATTCACAACAGCATATACCGTGAACTTTTAAAAATATCCCAGATATATAGGAAACTCTTACAAGTTGACCGGCAGAAGACAAAATAGGAAAACAGGGAGGAGGCATCAGCAGACAAGCCAGCAGGATATAAAATATCCTCAAACATAGGAAACAAGGTTCAAACTCACTTATGATTAGAGAAGTGCACGTTAGGACACTAAGAGATCGTTTCTCACCTGTCAGACTGACAGAAGTTAAATGATGTGGCAGCACATTCCGTTGGCCGAGACTGTGGGGAAGCAGCCTCCCACACGTCGTGGGTGGGGATGCAAATTGGCGCGCCGCTTGTGCAGGGGAATTGGCAAAACAAACTGTGTGTGCACTTGCTTTCCGACCCGTAATCCCACTTGCAGGGACCTACTCTGGAGATACACTGCAATGACGAAGAAACACATGTGCCAAGGCTGTTCATTGCAGTGTTGTTTCTAATTGCAAAATACTGGAAACTGCCCCACGTCCATGCGTAGGGAGGTGGTTGAATGAGCCACAGCATCGACAGGGTGAAGCGCTGTGCAGTTCTGAAGGGGACTGAGGGAGAGCTGCATGAGTGAACGTGGAGCGAGTTCTAGGAGGCGCTGTTCGGTGCATAAGCCAAGTCCAGTGCACTGCTCTTCACAGAAGGAAGGAGAGGATGTGGGCAAATGCGCAGTGTCTACTCATTGTGCAAAAGAAACACAGAAAGGATCACCCCGAAACTAAAGAGATTGGGTGCCTGCAGGAGGTGGATGGACAGGGACGGAAAGAAGGAGGAATGTGTGGTGTGAGGAATAGGGGTGACCTCTCTCGGGCTCATGGAACCACAGTGGTGTCGAACACGCCCTTCCAAGTCCACAGGGAGGGGCCGTCACGGAGCTTGTGTGACTCTATCATCGGAAACCTTTGGCCTGACCTAGTGTGGAAATATTTATGTTAAGTGCTCTGTGGTATAGAAGGAAATTTTCTGCTTAGCAGCCTAGGAGATATCAAAAAGGAATATTTGTTTTCGCTACCGCAGTTCTAACAAGCTACAGATGTTCAAGAGCCTTGCACTGTGAGAGACCCCAAAGCCAGACCCTTATTGGACCAAACTCCTTTCTAACCCCAGTGAACAATGGGGACTGTTTATTTTTTTTTAATCTCACAATAAGCTTTATTTAATTCACTATACAGACTTTTTAAATATGGTTGGTAATAGGCAGAACAATCATTATAATTAGGGATATATAAGGTTTACAGGCAATGATACACCAGTTGCCTATGCAAATTCATGTAAACTACTATAGAATGATCTGATTAAATGTACACGCATGCAAGACTAAGTGAAGAAAAATCCTGTCCGGCTATTCAAAAGCCTTACCTAGTGTTTTTAGTTTACAAAATCAAGCTCTAAATAGTTTTTCTAGGAAGAAAAGTAATATGATGGAATCCATTTATCATATGTGTTTTGTGTATATTCTGACATATAATGCCAGCTATATTCATTGATATCAGAATACTTTTTTTAATTATTTCATATTATGGGGGTACAAATATTGTTAGGGTTACATATCTTGCCCCTGCCCCCCCCACCCCGCTATGCCAGAGCTTCTAGCGTGTCCAGCCTCCAAGTGGTGCGCACCCTTCGCCCTCCCCCCTTCCACCTGCCCACCTCCCCATTACAGATTTTTTTTCAGACATTTTGGTTACAACGTATATCTTTACCTCTCCCTAAAAAGGGATAGAGGTAGTCCCTTCCCAATGGGGACTGTTTTAACCAATTCCCTCCTATCTAGAGCGCTAGCTTCCAGCACTTAATCAGTGTAACCAGCACCGATTTCTCCCTTCTAGCCCTTAAAAACCCCGACTTTCCCCCGTGAGCGGAAATACTACTTGTGTTCCTTGCCTGGCAATTAGCAACTTAAGCTTCAGTGTTTTTTATTTGTTTTTCTTTTGCCTCTTACGGCCTTTGTTCAATTCTTTGTCCATAGATAAGTGAGATAACCTGAAAGACCACGCAGGCTTCTCACTGAAATTTCCTCCTAAGTGCTTTGTTAAACTGTGTGAGCGTGTGGGCGAATTGTCTCCATTTCATCTCCCCCAGTTTGTCTGCATCATCCACAGGTGCAGGTAGAAATGTGCCGTGAAATCATCGGCAGGTGTCAGGCAGAGAGAGGGGCAGGAAATGGGCGAGGAACTGGTGAATTCGGTTTTCCAGCCCAGAGTGGACAACAGAGGATCTGTGTTTTTGATCATGAAAATGAAATCGTGGGCACTTTCCTTTCCCGTGCACCTTGTGCATGTTGATGACGCTGGCGTTTCTCGCTGCAGGAATGACTATCCCCGAGGAAGACGCAGACGTGGGACAGGGCAGTAAATACTGCCTCGTGGCCATCGGGAGGCTCCAGGTAAGAGCGGACTCAGAGCCTCTATGATCTCAGACTGATCTCAGACGAAGGCTCATGACCACAGAGTGCAGGGACAAAGGTCTGGCTGTAGCCTGTGTTCTCCATGCTGGGTGGGTTTTGATTCTCACTCTGCGGGACAAGTGAGGTCAAATCAAGAAGAAAAGGGGTCCGTGAGCTGTAAGCAGCACAGCTCTTGCTGCACGGAGGGGCTGCGTCCACCCACCCCTCGGCTTGTGCCAGTTACCGCCAGATGGAGTTCTGCTCACATCACATGCCTGCTTAGCCGTGCCCGTCTGCCCACGGTCTGCTCACCCAACCCACCCCTTCCCTTCCGCCCCCTCACCACATCCTTCTCCCGAACCACACCATCCTTTTCCGAACCCTCCACGCACGCCCCACCTACCTGGAGTCCCTCGTCCCCTTCTTCTCTTTTCAGAATTCTTTCTCCTCCTGCGTCCTTACTGTCCACCCATCCTTCAAAACCCAGCTGCCCTGAATCCCTGAGCTCCTTTGTCAAAGTGGATCCCTCCCTCCCTCCCTGTACTCTTAGCTTCGAGTTCTTACCCCAGGCATCTTCTCTCCTGCCTGTTTCATGTGGTGCGTTGGGCACAGGCTCATTCCCTGCGAGCTCCTCCGGGGCAGGGATGTGTCCTTTTGTCTTGTGCAAGTTAAATACGCTCAGCGTCTGGTGCACACAGTGACCACTAGGTCGTTCTCCTGAGGACATCAAGGGTCTTCCCGGCTGTGAAGGGAAACATAACAGACGTGGTTCAGAGGTCCCCGGTTTCCCAGGTCTGACCGTTTTCAGATGCATGAATAAACAGTTTCATTCACGTGTGGCAGGTGCTGGGTATTTCTTGCAGATGGGTAAAGGAAGACTATTTGGGTAAATTCAGTCCACAAATGTATATGCTCCAAATACTTTAACCAGTTCTTTAGGTTCATTTTCCATCCTTAGCAGAGGGAAGGTGGGAAAAGGGAACAGTATTAACATTTATTGAGTACCAACTAAGTACCAGGCATTGCCAAGGTTTAACACATCGTGTCTCTTTTGGGCGTCATAGCCCCCCCCCCATGGGAGTGTGGGTTTCCTCACTTCCACTGGCTAATAAGGCACCTGGAACTCAGATGTGTAGGGAAAGTGGCAGCTGTCACAGTTAGTTGAAGGTGTGGCTCTTTGCACTAACAACATGGAAGGATGTGTGAAATTGAACCCGCGTGGAGCATTCCCGTCTGTGTCTGTCTCTGCCAGCGCCGCCCTAGCAGTGGTGTTCTCTGTTCCAGGTGACCAGCTCGCCGGTGTGCATGGACATGAATGGCATGTCGGTGCCCACAGAGTTCCTGTCCCGGCACAACTCTGACGGCATCATCACGTTTGTGGATCCGCGCTGCATCAGTGTGATCGGCTACCAGCCCCAGGTCGGTGGACAGTTGTGAGCTCTCAGCAGTTGGATAGAGATTTAACTTCCCTTAAAACGCTCTTATCCATGTGGGACACAACACAAGGACAGTGTGGGAAAACAGCCTGGAGATCCATGTCCCTGCTGGGTAGCGAGAAACCCTTCCAGAGCCAGACAGGGATTGTAAACACCTGCGCCTAAAATGCCTGCTTCCTTCCCTGCCCAGGCCTTTGTGTCTCTCTAGGTGACCTTTTGCAAACTGGAATAAGATGTTCTAATGAAAGAGACCCTCTGATCAATTAATGTCATCAATTAATACAAAGCTTATTGATGTGAAAGATCTGCAAAGTCAGGTAAAGATGCCCACCTAAATGTGGCCAACCCTTTGTTTTCCACAGGGACTTGGAAACTTTTTTTTTTTTTTTTTTTTTTTTAAGGCTGGTCAAGTGGAGCAGTGGGAGTGGAGAAGGAACAAAGGAATCTGTAACTGGTTGTGATCAATTAGTTGTAAACACCACTGCACTCGGACCAACCTGGAAACTTTTTTTTACAGGAGACACATTTTCAGGGCTTTGTTCCAAACTCTTCTAAAAAGTTAGTGACATGAGAAACACAAAAGGCAGCAAAAGTTGTCTCAGATTAAGAGACAGAACAACAGTATGTCACGTGAGAGTCTTCATTGTGTCCTGGGGCTGAAGACGTGTCGCTAGCAGATGTCGCGCCCGCCTCGCCAGCAAGGAAGACGCGGCAACCGGAGTTCTTCTGACAGTGCTTTAATGGGGTTCCCTTTAGACTTACATGATGCGGAAGACACTGAGCACAAGCTCTCACACACTTATATACTCTAAGGAAGGGGGGAAGTGATGGGGATAGGTTAAGAGCGCGCGAGGGTTGTTACTGATAGGCCAAGCTAGGATCCTTCATATGCATACTTATAGAACAGGCCAGGACTTACTCTGCGCATGCGCTGAACTTGTTTACTACAGGCGGGCCACCGGAAATCGGCGCCATCTTAATGGCGTTGTCACCGCGCCCCACAAGCAGAGACACTGGGGAGACAAATAAAGTGTTAATACGTATGGAATATTGCGTGGCTTTATCTAATAATTGTTTATTTTCTTAGGCATAGTATGGTATGTTGTCCTTTTGTAGGATGATGTCATTTTATGAGGTACACACTGGGGGGAAGTATCATGTTGTCCACAACTTACTTTCAGAGGTTCAGCAAGAAATTGCTAAGTACACAGACATGTGTATATATGTATTTATACACCCATATGCATACATATGTATTTATACACACAGATAAAGAAAAAATGCAAATGTGGCCAAATATTGATAATTGTTGACTATATGAGAAGGATGTACAGGGGTTTATTGTATTATTCTTTCAACTTTTCTGTAGATTTAAATTCTTTCAAAATAAAAAGCATTTTTTAAAAGAAAGATATCTTTGTTCTAAGGAACAAAGTTCGGGATATGCATACTCACTAGCTAGAGACAGCTCAGACCAGAAATGCCAGGAATTGTCATGTAGTTCTGTATCTCTGGATTCCTGCAAACTTTGACATTCTTAGATGCAAGAAAGGGGAAAATTGATTTGTTTCCAAATTCACCGTAACCTCTGATGGCAGGATGTTCCCAACCAGATTCATTTATCCACTGGCTCCTTCCGGGGCAGCGGGAGCTCCGTGGCACGAAGGCGAGACGTCCCCACCGCTGCCGGCGCCAGCTCCTGCTTAGGCCTTTGCTGGTCTGGGTTCTGATCGCGAGTTACTGTAAATCCTTTGCTGCTTCAGACACTCCCAACGGACGGCTGTCCTGCAGCACAGTTGAACTTGCCTCTTCTGCGGTCTATCTTGTCCTCGTCTGCTTCACTGGGAACCAGACTCATGCTTGGACTTGATACTGGGTCCTTTGAATGAAACGCAGACGAATGAAGGCCAATAGTGGACAGGCTTTACTCAGAGCAGTTATTTTATGGTAACCATGTTTGTTCAGCCTCCAGAGAGCCAGTTTCCACACTTACGCAACTCCAGTTTTCATAGGCAGCACATGTGTCCTCGGGCTACCATTTTGCTTTCCTTTTATGTTTATTAAAATACGTTTATTGCAGTTTGCCTCTCCAAGGCAAACAAAGATGAAATTGCATTTGAAGCTGCTGATGCAGCGCTTGGCAAAGTCAGAGATGGGCAGTGAGTGTGCCAGAGGGACTGGGCTTGGGTGCGGGACGCCAGCCCCCTGGGGGCTCCCTGGGAGGATGAGCACCCAGCAGGCCAGGCTGAGGAGACAGAAATGATCACTGTTGTCTAGCGGTAAGTGGATAAATAGTTGCAAATGGAATCTGGGATCATGCAAGCTGTCTCTTTTATTTAGGATCTTCTGGGAAAGGACATTTTGGAATTCTGCCACCCTGAGGACCAGAGCCACCTGCGTGAGAGCTTCCAGCAGGTCCGTATTGCCGGTGCCCAGGCACAGCCTGGGGACCCATGGGCATGGCTGGCAGGATGTCAGCCCTGCTATGCGCCGCAGGCTGCAAACTCACACCTGAGGCGTCAGTCAGGGTCCTGCCGGGTAGGAGCCATGGTGCAGTGGGGATAGCAGATGCACATCAGGACGAAGTTACCATGTAACGGGAGAGGAACCCACGGGGTCGAGAGGAAAAGACGGCAGATGCTGCGGGTGCAGGGCTTGGCCGCGTAGGGAGGAGGCGGGAACAGTCTCCCAGGGGAGGGAACCCGGGGGACGAGTCTCAAAGGATGAACACAGACAAAATGAGAGAATATCCTAGACCAAGGGGCAGTGCTGGAGATGGAAAAAATGTGGGCTGTGGGGGCTCCTGAGAGCACAGTGGCCTGGCGGACAGAGCCCGGGAGGAGCCTCTCATGCCACGTGGGAGTTCCCTTCTCTCCTTAGGCAGCGGAAGGTCGGTGAGGACTCCTTCAAGGATTTTAGGCAAAGTCGTTTGCAAAACAACTTGTAGCCCAGGAAGGCTAAAGAAACAGCCATGGGAGAAAACTGGAAACAGAGACACGTCAGGAGGCTTTTTAATTGTCTTGGTCAGAGACAATGAGGCCAGACTTGGGCAGGGGCGGTGGGGGTTCAAGCAGGAGGGTGGGTGACGCCTGTGTGGAGACGGTGAGGGGAGAGGGTCTGGGGCGACGCTTGGGTGCATGAGAGGGTGGCTGCCCAAGTACAGGCGTTGGGCACGTTAGTGGCTGTTTACTGAGCACCTACTGTGTGCCGAACACCATGAGAATCCTGCTGCACACGTGGCTGCACTGACTCCTCACAGGAGGCAGTTGTAGCAGGTGGTCACTGTCGCCTTCCTGTCACGGTGCGTGCATGAGGCTCAGGGACGCCAAAGCGCCTTCCTGCCGCATGGCTAACGGACACGAGGACCAGGAGTCAAACCGAGGGCTGTTCCCTCCTGAGCCCGGACCCGGCCGCCATGCGAGAGGGCGAGAGGACACGCTTCCTCTCTCCGCGGGACTCTGGCGGTTCCCGCCGGCCCGATGACAGTGTCCCAGGAAAGAGGACTCAGTCAGGGTCACTTTCCAGAGGGGCTGATACCTGTTGGTCTTTCACCTGCGGGAATGTGTGCTCCCCGCTCTTCCCACAAGTGATGCCGGGCGGGCCGCTGGCGGCCGAGCACAAGCTAAGGCTGCAGTCCGAGGCCCCTGTGTGGGCAGATCTCTGAACCCCTGCTCCCGCACACTCCGCCCTTCCCTTCCAGAACATCCGGCTCCTTCCCACTGCTCCGCCCCCTTTGCTCTTCCTCCCCCTCCACCTTCTACCAGCCGGGCCGCCCAGCGCTCTGCCCGCAGCTGCCCCTCCCTCCTCTCTGCGGTGTCTCCCCAGCTGGTCCTGCACCCCGACTCCAGCCCAGGCTGTCCTCCCGCCCCGCCGCGCTCCACGCCCACGTGTGCGCCCCGTGACCCTTGGCATGGAGGCCTCTCAGGCCCTCACACCACCGCCTGCCTGCCTGCCGCTCAGGCCAGAGACCGGGAACACCCTCCTGATCTCACTCCGCACAGCCCCCGGCTCCCCTCCTGACAGTGGCAGTGACTTTTCTGCTGGCCTCTGTGCCTTCACTCTGCGCCGCTCCTGAATTCGCTTTGGCCACGTCTTACGTCAGACTCTCCCAGGACATCTAGAGTCCAGTGCGAGCTCCTTTCCTCACGCGCACTGCTCTCCAGTCTCGCAAAGAGCCGCTTCTGGCCCCTCGAACACGCCTCCCCACCGCAGGGCCTTGGCACATGCTGCTCCCTGGCCGGATGCTTTCCCCTCTCTCGTCACGTGCCTGACACCTCCCTTTAGGGTCCGACGCCATCAGTGACCTCCCAGCTGAGCAAGAGCCCAGCCTCCTCCTCAGCCCCCTGTGTTCCTTCACAACAACTATTTCAGTTTTATTTGTCCCTTGGCTTGTTTTGGGTGTTTTTTTTTTTGTTTTTTTGTTTTTTTTCTGTCTTCCTTCCTAGAACCTAACCTGCCTGTGGGCAGATGTCTTATCCGTGCTTTGCACCACGTTGTCCTCCACTGAGTTTAGCGCCTAGCACAGGGCAAAGCCGTCTACATGGATCGGAACCCAGGGGAGGTGGCTTTCGTGTGGAAAATGTGAAGTTAGGATGGTTAAACATAGCAAGGGTCTGTCTCCTCATACCATATGCTTGCTAGATATGCAGAGATCGCCGTAACCCTTGCGTGTCCGGCGTGGTCGGGTCTGGGTGGGGCCGGCTTCCTTTCTCCAGGGCCGTGGGAGTGAAGCTTCGGCAGCGACGGGGCCGCCATGCTGTGCTCGTCACTAGCCAGACCCTTGCATATGTTGTTCTGTGTCATCCTCAGACCTACACAGCGAGTGTTGTCATCCCATTTTTCACCGTCCGACGCTGGGGCTCAGGGAAGTTCCATTGCCTACCCCAGGTCACACGGCAAGGCAGTGACAGCTGGTGCACAGGCCTGCTGTGTCCATAGCGTCACCCACAGCACCACACCCCAGCACAGGCCTCTCTGTCCGACAGCACGTCTGAGGTTTCAGACTGCTGACGCTGTCAGAACCTGGTTGGTTTTGACAAGAAAAAGAAGGAATTTAAGGTCGGATCCCACCTTGGTATCCAGCTTAAGTAACTCTCACTCTGAGCAGCTGCCATTCCTCAGGTTGGGGGAGGCCAAGGCCGTGACCCCCCAGTTGCTGGCAGCCCCAGCCTCGAGAGCAGCCGCAGGGACATCCTGGAGCATGCCGGGCCTGGCCCAGGCTTGTGTTCTTTGGGCTGCAGCCACCGGCAGCCGAGGGGGTCAATGTTGATACAGGGGAGGGCTCGTTCCTACAAAAGCACGGCCGTGGCTGCGCCGGCTACGGCCAGCCCGTGAACCCATGTTTAAACAAAAGCATTTTAGGAGCCCAGGCAGGAAACCGTAGCATGTGATCAGGTTTGTGAGGAATTTGAGTTTGTGCGGTAACAGCGTGCCGGCCAGGGGCCTGGAGATTTGCGTCTGCCCTTGGAGGCCCTGTCTGGGTCACGGTTTACCCAGAAATCAAATGGGACACTTAGAGCAGGCCCCCACCCACCCCTCCTTTCTGCCCACCTTCTGTGGCGATGGTGATGGAGAGGACAGGCTGGGCCGGCTCTTCTGCTTGGTCTTTGTGCCTGCTTGTGTCAGCATCATGTCTGGTCTTCAGGCCTGGACTAAGTCACCTTCACTGCCCACGTGCATGGCCCAGCCCCTTACACCTGCCCACAATGTGCCTTCTGCCGGGAGAGCCCTCCCCGCACACCCCACATGCCAACGCTGTGCCCCTCCGACTACGCTCCACCCCTCGTCCCTTTGACAGCCCCCTCTGGGCTCTCACAATAGGCCGTCTCTCCTCACCCCCTAGACCCATAGCACTCGGCTCTGGGTTTCCGTGGTGGCACTTAGCATGTGCTCTCGTGGTCACGGTCGTCTGCACGCCAATCCCGCCTCTGCTGGATGAGAAGCTCAGGAGCCGAGACTGTGCCTTGGCCGCAGGGACACACGGGAAGCCTCTGGCCAGGTCTAGGGGTCTGTCCATGCTCTGTACCCCTTGAGGCCTTGGGCAGGGCGTCCGACCACTCTGGCTCGCTGTGTAGGCTCACTAAGTACTGTCACAAGGACCACGTGGCCAATGTGATAAGGTGTCTGGCCTGTAGCCTGGCCCCGGGAGGGTGCAGAACCGCCCTCCCCTCCTCCGTTCCCTGTCCACAGCTCCCAGGGCTGAGCTTTGCACACGGGCTTGCTGTGTGGAGGTAGCAAGTCCGTACCCTCTCAGACATCCCAGCTGGAGACACACAGCAGTGCCCTTGCTGCCCTTCCTCAGCGTGAGAGACGTGGGTCTGACCACGTGGCTGGTGGCTGCCCGTCTCCCCTCTGTTTGGTGCAGACACAGAGGAGGCCCCACGGCAGCGCCCCAGAATGCTGACCTGAGGGGGCCCATGGTCTTGACCTTTGGCCCCTGCGAGGGAAGAGCCAGGGTCCTGTTGGGGCCATAGACTTTCCCAGCCTGGCTCACTCCACACTCTGCCTCCCCTTGTGGTGCCAGGGAGGCCCCCACTGTCCTGGAACTTTCCTGCCGTTTATCTTTCACAATGGGATGTCCTGTCGGAAGCCTTCCTGGCAGCTGACGCCCTCGGCCTGGGTCTCCTCTGGCTTCCCCTGTGGACAGTCAGTCTGGGCCGTGGGGCCCGCAGACCCCTCCCCTCAGTTCAGGACATATGCTCTGCATGCTGGCTCCTTGCTGGGCCCCAGGCCGGGGTGGGACCTCAGGGGACCAAGATGTCCCCATTGTTACCTGAGATCTCTGATCTCTGGGTCAGGTGAGCCCGGCTGCCACAGGCCCAGCGAGGTACCAGCCCTGCCGTGTCCTGGGAGAGGGGAGCTCCCGCCTCATCCCATCTGGGGTTGCAGCCAGGTCCAGACCCAGGCCCAGACCCGTTATGTTCCTTCTCACCCTGTCTGTGCTCCAGCCGTGCGGACTGCACGTGAATGGGCTTCTGCACGTGTGCACGTGTACTGACGCGTCTTTGTGTTGCGTGTGTGCATACGGAGTGTGCAGTAGCCCCCACCACGGCTTCGTTTCCCACTGCCCCGGTGGTCAGTTGTCAGTGGTCAGCCTTGGTCTGAAAATATGAATGGGAAATTTCAGACATAAACAATTTGTAGATTTCCAGTCTCTGCGTAGCGTGAAGAAAGCGTGCGCTGTCAGACTGGGGTGCGGCTTGCCGGCTATGTGTGCTACCTGCCCGTCAGTCACTGCACAGTGGGTCCGGTCATCAGAGCAAAGCACCACAGTGCCTGTGTTCAGACAACCCTTGTTGCACTCACCAGTGGCCTCAAAGTGCAGGAGCCGTGATGCTGGCACACGGTGGTAATTGTTCTGTTTCATCATTAGTTGTCGCTGTTAATGTCTTACTATGCCCAATTTGGAAGTTAAACTTTTTCATGGGTGTGTGTGGATAGGAGAAAACGTAGCATCTATAGAGTTCAGCCCTATCTGCAGGGTCAGGCATGCGCTGGGGGTCCTGGGATGGACCCTCGTGGATAGGTGGGGGCTGCCATGGACCTTCATAGGACGAGAGAGCGACTTGTGTAGCCACGGAGGCGATCTCACGATTCAGACATAAGATCCTGCTTCCCGTCCAGCTTTTCTGCCAAAGTCATCTGACCTTGGGTGACTTGTTTAATTTTTCTGAGTTTTAGTGTAATATTATTATCCATAAATAATAAAAGTCACCTCACTAAACTCTTCTGAGGGTATATCTGAGGAATACATTTGCAACATACAACATAAACGTAGTAATAGGTAGTTACATATAAATAAATATTGCATAGAAATTTATTATTTTATTACATTTCCTCCCAAAGAGTATACTGAATCCATTTCACAGCATTAAGCAGAGGTTAGGAATCTTTTATGTGAACTATGAAAAAATAAATCCATGAATGCAATCTGGCTACAGGCCTGAGTGAGGTAATAACTTGGGGGGTACTAACACAAAACCCAGGGTGCCCTAGCAGGCAAGGCAAAAAGAGGAACACTCAGGCTTGTGGAGTCTTTGTGGTATGATTTGTAAAAGCCGAATAAAAAGTCCTGACATAGCGTGGGCATTGACTGGTGAGTTCCCCACAGGTGGTTACAGCGTGGCCCAGATGCAGTGCCCCACGTCACGGAAGTGGACAGAGAGGTTCCCGTCACCTGACTCTGCCCTCTCTGGACGTCTCCTGGCCACAGTGCCCTGCTCTGAGGCCCCGCGCCTCTCCCTCCTGCCTGGCCGTCTCCCTGCGGCTGACGTCCTCCGCGCGTGTCTCCCCAGGTGGTGAAGCTGAAAGGCCAGGTGCTGTCGGTCATGTATCGGTTCCGCACCAAGAACCGGGAGTGGGTGCTGATCCGCACCAGCAGCTTCACGTTCCAGAACCCCTACTCCGACGAGATCGAGTACATCATCTGCACCAACACCAACGTCAAGTACGTACCGCCGCGTCCCTCTGCGGGGGCCCACGCAGCCTTCCTGGGTCCAGAGCTGGCGGCTCACAAGGCTCTTGTCCCTGCAGGCTGTCCCTGCAGCTGGGATTGCCAGCAGGACTGAGGAGCAGGCGCCCGGGACACTGGTCCCCGTCACCTCTTCCCTCCCAGGTTCCTCCTCCTCACTTCCCTCCTGGTTTGTAAGAACCAAAAGGTTCTCAGGGTGCTCCGGTCTCTGTTCCTCTCTGTGTCCCCTGAGCACAGAGGCTGCCTATGTGCTCCGGCTGTGACCGCTACCTGTGCACAGCTGCTGGGTCCTGCCACAGCGGGGTGGAGAGAGGCTGAGCCTCTCAGCAGCTCTGGAGCCCAGGGCAGGTGGCCTGCAGGTGGGCGCCTCAGGGACACATGGTTTCTCCGCTGCCCCGTCGTGGAAGCACTCCTTCCTGCTGGGGCCGGGGTCCGGGATCCCTGCCGACAGATCTGGGCTCCAGTCTTAGCCCTGCTGCTTCCTTGAACAAGTCACTTCGTCTCTTAGCTTCACCTCCTCCTCCATGAAGTGGGGTGACCACACTGCCCTCATCGGGTCTCTAAGGATTAAGTGAGGTCAAGCTACAGGCCAGACACGGGTTCAACTCCCAGCACAGGGAGCGTGACCTTGGCCAGGTCCTGCCCCCTTTGGCTTTCGTACAAGGCCAGGGAACCAACATGGACAGAGACATATGGACATGAGGACGTCCAAGCATGTAGGAGCGTGTGAAAGCCATGCCTGGCGTGGGGGAGGCTGCAGCATGCGGTGAGGCTGGCGTTGTCCTCGTGTCTTGCCATCGTGGTCAGCAGTGCTGCTGCTGTCCTCCACTTTCCCAGGCCCAACACTGGGAGGGGTCTGTTTCCCACCCTGCCGCCGCCTCCGCATCTGCCGACTCCTCCTCTCAGCAGCCTCCAGGTGCCCTCGGCACTTGCCTCGCTCTGCCCACCGCTGCTGTCCCCGAGCCTTGGGGTCGGGAGTCCCCCTCTTCCCAGGCAGCAGCACCCTGGCATCCTCAGCCTGTCCCTGCTCCTGGGCCACAAGCACAGACCAGACGGATGAGTCCGTGTGAGGTCCCTTGGGGGGCGGGTGACCTGGATTTCAATCCCAGCTCCCACCTGGCCAAGTCACCTACCTGTTCTCAGCCTCAGCTAACCTCATCCGTGGAATGGAGAGAGTGACAGAACCCATTGCCCCAGAACCACTGAGGGTTTTTGCAGATTCTGCGCGTAGGCATTGCACGTGCCACACTGGACCATGACACCAGGCAGAGCCAGCCCGGGCACGGGTGGTCTGTGGCAGCGTCCACCGCCCCCTGCAGCTGCCTGGCAGTCTCCCCCGCTGGCAGCCCCGGATCTCGTCTAGCCTCCCGAGTGCCCTGCCTGCTTTCCCCTGCTGACGCCGGGGAGATTGCCTGGGCCCTCCCTGTGACACTCCCGTGTGTGGGCGTCTCCATCTCAGTCCCTCCTCTGCCCGTCTCCTTCCAGGGCCAGACCTGCCCTTCCCTCATCCCCCTGCTCATGCCTGGTCCCCCGTCCCCGAGATCCTCTCTGCAGGCTCCTCCCAGGCCTCCTGAGTGGCCCCCTACTCCCTGTTCTGCCAGCACACCCAAGTTGTCTCCATCTCACCCTGCCAGGTGCGTCTGTGGGAACCTCCAACTAAACCCTCCTAGCCGGGCTTTGCCCTGACACGGTTGAAACTGCTTCCCCAGTACCCCCGAGAGTGGCTGGTTCTCGCTGGTCATTGTCCCCACACTGTCTGTATGTCCAGTTCTTCTTTCTTGACTGCTTCTCACCTGCTGACGTGATACTCTGATTCTTCCACCTCCGTCTTCTAGTCGAGTCTTCCTCGGCTGTAAGTACAGCAGGAGTAGATCCAGCCGTAGTCACAGGTGTGCAAAAAGAGAATGTTACTTTAACTTTTTCTGCATCTGAGTTCAGTTAAACTCAGTAAACTTGGTCCAGTTAAGGGTGGTTTATGTTCCCACTTCCCCCAACATGGGAACGGGGTTCTGCACTCGGGGAGCAGAGAATGGCCCCCAGTCTGGCTTGTGTCTGGCCCGGCCCTGAAGAAAATGGTGAAGCTTGAGACACGGAGTGCGCGCGAGACGCGGTGCTCTGGACTGCACGGGGCTGCCTTTGTGCGGCAGGCTGGTCGCGGAGGCCGTGGGCGCCCCGTCCAGGAGCCAGAGCAGAGCAGCAGGGTGCGGGCAGGGCCAGCCAGGAGGCAGAGAAGGGGGGGGCTGGCCTGGGTCCGCTCAGCACCTCCCCGAGCCGGCTGTGTCCCAGGGCCCGCTCCCCGTCAGGGCCCGCTCCCCATCAGGGCCCAACGTCAGGGTGAGGCGTGGGCTCCAGTAACGTGGAGGACGCGGGGAGGGCGACGGGAGGCAGAGCACAGCGCTTCTCCCGGGGCCTCGGAGAAAGCACCCGGGGAGCCCTGCGTGGGGCTTGGGGGAGGCAAACGCCCCTCTTAACCACTTCGGGACCAGCGTCAACTGTAGTCGACAGCCACAGATGAACGCGCACAGCTGCTTTATCCGACAGCTGTGATATCACTTTTCTAATTTTTCATCATCAAAGTAAAATTGTGAACATTTAAAAATAATGTAATGAAAACATATATATATATATATGTTACCTATTCTGATTTATATTACAAGTAAAGCTGCCTGTAAAGTAAAACAAGCTTTCAGTGCTTTCAAGCTTTCTTCGTCACCCAAGAACAAAATGGATTCGTCATCAACGCACAGCACAGACTACCGTGCGGACTGTGAGTGCCGGCTGTGGGCGAGGTTTCGCGGCCGGTGAGCGCGGTCCTGAAGTGGTTAAAACCAAGCCTAGCTGAGGTTTTGCTTCTGTGAACGTCAGGCAGTGTTGACAACACAGGAAAACCGTTTTGTTTGGGGCTGTGCCTGCACGTTTCCTCGGACAGCTACTCGTGCCAGCTTCTCGGGGGCTCAGGCATCAGAATGCCCTCGGGACAGCGTTACCCCAAGCCCGAATCCAGTGTCTCCTGATCGTGAGGCCTCCCGTGTTGAAGCTGTCGGAGGAGTTCCCTGTGGACGGCAGAGGGCAGTGATGGCTGCGGATGTGCGGGCCGCCCTCTTCCCAGTCTGTGAGGCTCAGCTGTGCCAGCAGCAGGCCTACTCGGTAGGGAAGGATCCTCACGTGCTCCGTGCTCACGGGGAAGTCTGCAAGCGCAGCTGTGTTCAGTCAAGGGCATCCAAAAGAAACTTCCTGGAGAAATTGAATGTCTAACGTTTAGCGTTTGTGCAAAGCTGCCGCGGAGAAGACCTCTTTATCACCCTGCCTTTTCCCCTCTTCCTTCAACATAATGAAGTCCAGAAAAACACCGGCGGATCTGGATGCTGCTCGCACTCTTTGAAGTGAGCCTCGTTTCACAGGGAGCCGGGTCTGGTGCTGGGGCGACAGTCTTTCACGGGCACTTTCTGAGCTCGAGTCACTTCAGGGTTCACCTGTGCACACCCAGCTTCTCTCAGCGTGTCTTTAGGGGCGGTGCGGACTCCAGGCCACCCCCTGCGCGGTGACAGCGGTGTCCAGAGCCGCCACAGCTCTCGCAGGCACAGCTGCTGACTGTGTGACTTAACCTCCCCACCACGCCCATGGTGATGCCTGGGTCCACGAGCCAGCGACAGTCACGTCTCGAGCGACGAGTGCTAGCCGTGCCCAGCCAGCAGAGGGCGGGGTGGGCAGAGTAGGGTGGGCACAAAGGAGCAAAAGGAAGGGTTTATTCCTGGTCTCTGCAGGGACAGCAGCCAGAACGAGCCCAAACCCGGGAGTTGCCCGATGCCTCCTCTCGCTCACCTCAGCAGGCACCTGGCACAGAACCAGGCCTGCCGGTCTGTCTGGGGTTCTCTCTCCAGCCCAGCTTATCCTCTGCCTCTGCTGCCCGCCTCTGCTGAGCCTTTGCCACCCCGCAAGTGACCATAGGTCGTCCCAGCCTCGCCCCTGCCTCCCGCCAGGCCCCTGGGGAGCGTGGCCTCTTAAAACACACGCAGGAACGAGCTGCTCCCTGCCCTGTTCAAATCAATTGCAACCCCTGTAACGGGCAATCCGAGTCCTTCAAATAGGTATGTGACGGCACTTGGTCTGTGGGCAGGGAGCGTGCAGAGCCCAGACGCCTCCCACCCGGTTCCAGTCACTCCCAGAGGCCGACCTCGCGCTGCCTCCGCAGGGCCCGTGTGGGCTGAATGAGAAACCTCTGTGCAGGGCACGTCAGGGTGATTGATGGCCTCCGGCTGGCAGGAAGCGGCTGCTGGGCCTCCCATGGCCCTAGTGGAGGCCGCGCCGTGCCCGGCTGCGCGGAGCCACTTCCCTCGTACCGCCACCCGTTCTGCACTCAGCATCCCTGCTTTCTCCCTCCTCGGAACTTGCAAGCACACCGAGGTTTATGTTTATACCCTTGCCGTGCAACGTCTGAGAAGCCTCGCCAGGGCTCCTCTGGGGACGGGGCAGCAGTTTTCTTCCGCCTGCGCTCGGCTGCGGGAGCGGAAGCCCAAGGGTCGGAGGCGCTGATGCTGGACTCCAGAGCCAGCCAGCTGCAGGGCCCGGGGTTTGCCAGCCATGCCCGAGTAGGCCTGAGTCCCACTCCCTGTGCGAGGGCCTTTCTCCGGTCTGGAGCCCAGAGAGGAGCAGGACTGGAGCAAACCCCAGCCTGAAGCCCAGGGCCCTTCTTGTGCCTTCATGCACATGGGAAGCCCTGCCTTTTCTCCCCGAGACAGACGGCCCCAGGGCACATGCCAGGCCCATGGAGAGGCCCAGGCGCCCTGCACGGCTGCACAACCCCACCCATTGGCCTTGCCCACCCACTAAGATTCTGGGCTTGGGCTGGACAAGTTGAGCCACAGGTAGGAGTGGTGGTCATTTCCTGGAAAAATGCTTGCAGGGTGAAGGTTGTGCTCTGAAAGGGGTCAGGTAGAGGATGGCCCACGGATTCCTGCCTGGTGGGGGGAGTTCACTGCTCCAACCCCACAAAACCCCAAGGAGCAGATTTTCTCCCTCCTTGTGGCTCAGTGTGCCCAAGGCTCTGGATTGGGAGACGTGGGACAGCCCTCCTGTTGCAGCCAGGGGCATTGTCTTGGGCTGGGGCAGAGCCGGGCAGAGGACAGAGTGCCAGGTCCACAGCCAGCCAGACCTGCGGCTTGAACCCTGTCTACCCCATTCTAGCCCCGTCACCCGGCCATGTCGTGTAAACTCCCTGGGCCTCGGCTTCTGTATCTGTAGTGTGACAGTAGGGCAGGGATGTGAGAATGTTGGCAAAGGACTGGCCGTCGGTCCCACATTCTGATTTTGGAGGCCCCACAGATGAGAAATGATGGTGCCCCCGTGACATAAATCAAAGTAAAATCATAAAGTAAGAATAAGAAAATATACAAAGTTATGATTTTTCTATTAATGAGTAAATTGATTATTTAAAAATTTTTTAAACGTCAGTTTATTTTGACAATGTTCTTAGTGCCCCCACCCTACTGGCACAGCCAGCGTGGGCGGAGACCGCCTGGTGGGAAACTGCGCTGCTGGCTCTGGCACCGGGGTTAGGAGGCAGCCTGTGTCTTCGGACAGAACCTCATTCTTCTGCGCCATGGTCCTGACTCCCCACATTGCGATTGCCTGCACACCGTCTGTCTCCCCAAGACCGTCCATTCCGTGGGGCAAGGGTCCGGCAGGTTCTGAGCCCGCTGTGCAGCGGCACCATCAAGCGCGGCTGGCTGAGTGGACCAATGTGCGCTTACTCCTCAGTGGACTGCTCAGCGGGTCCCCTGCTGGGGCGCTCCTCTAAAAGGGCCTCCTTAGGGACGGACACATGGGCGCCATGCGCAAGGCTTGGCTAGAGGAAGAAACCGTGCTCAGAGCCTACATATTCCGTAATGCTGAGGAAAGTTGAGAAACAGATCCAACTTATTTTGTGTTTCTCCAGGAGCAGAATTGGAACCCCAAATGGAAATTGTAGGGAGGCAGATTTGGGCTCTAGGGGGCCGACTTTTTTTTTTTTTTTTTTTTTTGTAAGCAACCTTGCTTTAATTAATAACATAGTTCCATGAATGTGTGAGATCATAAAAAAATAAACTACAAATTACTGTAGGGAGAAAAAGGGGGAAATATCAAAACAAGCCATTTTGGCTACAGGTGAACCTCCCTGTTGAATTTGGAAAGTGATTTTTTTCAGCATATTATGGGGTACGAATGTTAAGGTTACGTATATTGCCCTTGCCCCCTCCCTCGAGTCAGAGGGGGCCGACTTTTCGTAGTGATTTCTGTCTGCAGATGGAGTAGCTGCCCCAGGGGTCACAATAGTTCTCTTAAATCATCTGTATAGCAGCCCAACTTGAAGTACAGGGTGTGGAGGCTTGATTTGGGGCATTAAAAATAAAATAACTAAAAACGGAAAACAGTTTAGAGATCTGCTGGGTATCATCGCTGTGGCTTTGGGGACGGGAAGAGTCCTGGCTTGGCCTTGCTGTCACTGTCCTGTTCTCCGTGACTCTCTTCGTTGGCTTCTTGTCTCACAGGCAACTTCAGCAGCAGCAGGCAGAGCTGGAAGTGCACCAGCGAGACGGACTGTCATCCTACGACTTGTCCCAGGTGAGTTTCTCCAAAGTTCTTTACCCGTTGGAACTGTGGTTCCAACCAGCCCAGTGGGCTGGGGACTCCATCCAGCCCTTAGCTTGAGCCCTGCGGCCCAAAGGCCGCTGTTGGCCCGTCCATGCCCTCAGTGCACAGAGCGGCCTGCTGGTGCCCCAGGGCTGCTGTGGCTCTCGCTTGCACTGCTGAGCTGGGAGGAGTCACAGCACGTGGAGACTAGGTGGAGAACCAGGCACCACATGCAACCAGCCCTGGCTGTCTCAAGGGGCTGGTGGACGTGTCAGAAGGCCACGTATGGGCCGGGCGCGCTGGCTCACGCCTATAATCCTAGCGCTCTGGGAGGCTGAGGCGGGAGGATCCTTTGAGCTCAGGAGTTCAAGACCAGCCTGAGCAACAGCGAGACCTTGTCTCTACTGAAAATAGAAAGAAATTAGCTGGACAACTAAAAATATATAGAAAAAATTAACCGGGCATGGTGACATATGCCTTTTGTTCCAGCTACTCAGGAGGCTGAGGCAGGAGGATTGCTTGAGCCCAGGAGTTTGAGGTTGCTGTGAGCTAGGCTGATGCCACGGCACTCTAGCCTGGGCAACAAAGGGAGACTCTGTCTCAAAAAAAAAGAAGGCCATATATGAACTCGTGCACCAACATACTCAGAAGCCAGCAAAAGCAGGTCCTCTGGCTGCCTAGCCCTTCCTTGTCTTTGTCCACGTCCCTTTCTCCCTGTGTCAGCTTCCTGCCCAGCTTGCGTTTCTCGCTGTGTCTCCCTCCCTTCTCACACATCCTCTATGCCCTTCTCGTGCCCCTTCTCCTCCCACTGTGTCTGACAGCCTGGCAGGCAGGAAACTGCAGCATGTGTCCATATCTGGCCTCTTCCTAAATCAAACTTTATGTCCACTTTTCCTGATGTTTAGAGTAAGTTGATTGTTTTCCATTTATCTAAGAAAGTGATCAGTGTGACTTTGTTGTCCTTTATGTGACCTTCAGTTCACACCCCTCTCCCCGGCTCTTCTTGCCCTTCACATATAGAGAAGCTCCCGCACCCTGTGGAATGTTCCAGCCCAAAATGCCAGTGGTTCCGGAGGGAGGGGCGCTGAGGAGGGAGCTCGGGAGACTCTCGGGATGGAAGTTTTGCACCCCACACGGGGTTGCTGTTGTGTCTCAATCTCTGCAAACAGGTCCCTGTCCCCAACCTACCAGCCGGCGTGCACGAGGCTGGGAAGTCCGTGGAAAAGGCAGATGCGATCTTCTCCCAGGAAAGAGACCCTCGGTTTGCAGAAATGTTTGCAGGAATTGGTGCATGTAAGTTTCCACACAGCACTGAGGTTGTGAGGCTGTGCGGTCTACAGTCGCTTTCCGGCCGTCTAGAGACAGCACCCTTAGAGGAGGGGCTGCGATGCTGAGTTTCCAGTAACCACTGCAGGGCCTAAGAAGAGCTTGAATACAGGGCTGGAACAGATTCTCGCTACTCCTGGCCTGGCCTCTTACGTACTGGCTACCTGGGCAACCAACCGGGGCCTGGCTTCTCATCTTTAAAATTGGATGAGTTAGAATAAATGGGTGCTGTTATTCCACTGTGCAGTTTAGTTTTATTAAGCCGAAGGCACGTCTCTGTAAAAAGTTGCAACTTGGTCCCTAACACACAGAGGACCACATTTCAAAATAAAAATGTGTAGTAAAAAAGAAAAACAAAAATGATCCAGTATCCTACCACTTGGATATAACCATATTTAACTTTGTAAAGTATGTCCTTTCTGTGTTTGTCTACACATACATGTTGGTTTTATATCTGAAATTAAGCTGGTACTGTTTGGCAGCTTCTTTCACGTGACAGTTTACTATAAACGTATTCTCAGATCGTTAAAAAACCTAAGTCATTTCTATCACTTGCACGCCATTGACTCAGTCAGTCTCCCTGGCAGTCGCTGCTCTTGGGGAAGGTGGCACAGATCTCATTTAAGATGGCACAGGGAGCCGGCCTGTCTGCCTGGCTCACCCTCCCACTCAGATTAGCAAAATGCAAAATCTGGAAAGGTCTTTGTTAGTCCCAAATCAGAAAAAATATTCCATTTTCATGTGGTCAAGGAATATTTGCAAGGTGCAGTATAGTCAGGATCCACTGAGGGAGAAACCAGTTGGCTTATAAGCAGGAAGCGTGGAGAACGCTGTCACGGAGGGGAACCCTGCCACCAAGGGGAGCCCTGTCATCAGGGAACCCTAGTTGTGACCGAAGTGAGGGCAAGCCTCCTGTGGCAGAGGGAGCACACCTCAGTCCTCCTGACGCCAGCACACTTCCCACCTGGCTGTGCACCAGATGCCCAGGAAGCAGGAGGGCTGCGTACGGGTGGGCTGCCCCGCCATTCTCGGGGTGGCCTCCTCTGTGGTCTGCAGGGTGGGGAACCTTCATGAGTGACTCCTGCTCTGTTTTCCTAGCGGAGAAGAAGATGATGAGCTCAGCCTCTGCAGCAGGAAGCCAGCAGATCTACTCCCAGGGGAGCCCGTTCCCCCCCGGACACTCGGGGAAGGCCTTCAGGTATGTGCCAGGGAGGCTCTAACCAACATCAGGTGGTGGTCCCTGGCCCGCCGGCCCTGGGCCATGCTGGGGATGGTGGCAGCTCTGTGAGCCTCCCTGAGTTGCCACAGATGCTCGATGCAAGTTGATGCGGAAGGCAGCAGACAGGATGTTCTGTAGCGATGTCTACTGGGGAGAAGGGAGTAAGTCGGCCTCTAGCCAGGACCCAGGTGGGGCAACGCTGGGGACAGCTGACAAGGTAGCAGGGACTGTCCTGTCCCCTGGTTCCCAGAGGCCACGGCCAAGTCCAGGAAGAGTGGATGCCGCAGCCCATGACATCTGGGCGTCAGCCTGCAGGGCACTTAAGTGTATTAGGCGGGTGTCCGGCCTTCCCAGGGCTTGGTTCTTAGTATCGAGGGGGTCTTGCAGGTCACCAAGAAGCCCTGACATCACCGGGGCAAGCCTGGCTCTAGTGAGCCCTGGGGAAACGGAGCATAACCAGAGCAGACAGCCAGAGGAGAGGCAGGCAGCCCTCAGGGAGGCTGTGCGGGCACTCGCATGTGCCCACCAGACGCGCCCAGTTCCCAGACCCAGTGCCCAGCAGGCAGGGCCTCTCACACAGCCCTGTCTCCAGTGGGCGTGGCCAAAGCCTGCGTGGGGCCGGCACCAGGGCGCCCTGGCCACGCGGGATGAGGATCTCGTGCACAGACTCCTGGAGAAGCATGGGCGGCTAGCACCTGGGACCTGGATCAGCAGACCCTGAGCAGCCCTGGCCAGTCCCACACTGGGCACCACGGGACTCAGTCTGGGCTCTGAGACCTCTGGCCTGGGGACGGCAAGACGAGGTGGCAGCCACCAGTGAGCAGCCCCTGACATCGTCATTGCAGGCCATGTGGCTCTGCTGAGCATCGGTCAGGACCTCGGACTGCCCCATGCCACCGGGTGCCCCAGCACACGCTGTCCCAGCCCCGCCCGGGCACTCACGTCCCTGGGCTCCTTGTGACACTGCTGCTCGTCCTTTTCTCTGGATGAAAGGGAACAGGGAGGGTGCTGTGGCAAGAGCTGAGGAAGGGACAGCATTCGGGGCGAGGAGACTGCCTGAGGAGGGCAGCCAGACTGGCCAGAGAGGGCCTGGCCACCTCCTCAGCTGTGTCTGGGAGCAGAACCAGCTGTGCCTCCTGGTGGGGCGGCGCACGGGCCTGGGGAAAGGGCTGAGTGCAGCCGGGAGGCCGCGAGGCCGGGGGCGCCGCACGGAGGGAGGGCAGAGGATGAGGCAGTGGCGGCGCTGGGCGCACAGCATTACCGGCAGGGAAGAGGGAGGCTGCGGTCCAGCCCAGCACAGCCAGCGCAGTGAGGCGCAGAGCCCGGCCGAGGCAGCTGTTGTGGGAGCAAAGCAGTGGGGCAGGTGGAGGGTGGGGACGGCTCGGGGCGGCCACCTGTGCCGGGACAGAGTCTGGGGTTGCCCAAGGGCTGTGCAGGCCTGGCATGGGACGGCATTGCTGAAGGCTGGCTGTGAGGGAAGGAGCGGAGGACGCCTGTGCGGGCTGCAGCCTGCGGAACGGGCAACCTGAGGGAAATCCGAAAGGCTGAGCCGGCGTGGGCTGGGTGGGCTGCGGGTGGACAGGGCTCTGGGCCTGCTGCCGCCGGAGGAAGCCCCGGGCTGCCCGAGCGAGGGCGCTGCTGGCCCCACAGTGCATCCTCACCCCGAGTCCTGCCGCGTGGCCCCTGCCTTCTGTGCCAGGGCGGGCAGCTGTGGCCTGGGGGTCCTGGGGAGGGCTGGGCACAGGGGCTGGCCTTTGTCCCAAGACGCCTGTCCCTTACAGCCAGGGCACCTTTCCAGGGCCAGCAGTGCCACAGCCGGCCCTGGCCAGTCAGCGTCCTGTGGGAGGACACGCAGGCCCGGAGGATGCGAGAGAGCCTCCCGGACAAGAGCGATCAGAAACCGTCCCCGGAAACCATACGCTGGTCAGAAAGGAGTGGGACAGGAGCCCTTACATTAAGTGAAGGGTCGACTTTAGGAAGAGGGCGATGCTGTCCCCGTTACCTGAGCAGCTGAACGTGCCCACAACGGCCATTGCAAAGCTGTCTCTGACACTCTTGGCTTTTTCTCGTTTTAAGAGGGATCAGACAGCGTAAAAGAAAACATTAGAACACAGGTAGTAAAATTGGGCCCGATCTTCTGACGGGTCTACAGTCTGCCGTTCTCTCAAAGCTAAGCTGAAAACCCACCGGCACTAGCCCTCTGTGAACAGCCCCGCTGGCCACTCGGCTGCTTCCTGGGCACGAGCACTGGGCCCTGTGTGCAGAGATGGCCGCAGGCAGGCAGGAGGCAGGGCCTGAACAGAGGGGCGTCTGCCTCAACCTCCCCATCCTCACGCAGTGGGAGGCTCCCTGTAGGAAGTGCCTAGCCGTGCAGATGACGCGTGCCAGGTTGGGGGACAGACTCAGAGCACGAGACTACAAGAAACACACCGAGCATGCACACAGCAGGTGCCTAACAGGCATGCTGAGTTCAGTCTAAGAGGGACTGAAGGTGGAAGAGGCAAGCTCTGGGTGGAGCACCAGGCCCAGCCTGCAGGTTTCAAGGCTTTTCTTGGTGTTCAGAACGAAGTGACAACCGCCTCGAGTCCCTGGAAGGAGCAGCTGAGCTGGCACAAAGGAGGGTGTCGACCCGAGACGGACTCTCACCCTCACGGCTCCTCTCTTCCTGGAAATCGAATCGTCTGCTCACCTGCCCAGAGCACAGGACATGCAGGGCTGGGACGGGGCCGAGGAGGGGACAGTGCTGGACACCTGGGGAAGGGCGAGGGGAGGACGCACCGGGATGACCCGGCCTTGAGGCTCAGCGTGTGTCCTCCCATGTCTCACGGAGACTGCGTGCAGGGAGGCAGCCAGGCATTCCCTTGGGACAAATGCATTTTCTTCCCTTCCAGCTCCTCAGTGGTTCACGTGCCTGGAGTGAACGATATCCCGTCCTCCTCCTCGACAGGCCAGAACATGTCCCAGATCTCCAGGCAGCTAAACCAGAGCCAGGTGGCCTGGACGGGGAGTCGGCCACCATTTCCAGGACAGGTATGGGCGTCTGTACAGGCCTTTCCCTGGAGCCCAGAGAGGCAGAGCACTCTGGAATGTGCCTTTCTCTGTGTTCTGGCTCCGAGGCAGCTCCCAGCTGGAGCCGACCACCCTGGCAGCAGCTGCTCCCCAAAGGCTTGGAGAGCTGGAGCCCCAAACCTGGCGCTACGTGTGACCTCTGCGCCTTTCATCCCCATAGCCTTGCCCTAGGCAGCAAGCAGGGTGGGGCAGAGACACCCCTTCAGGAATGGGCCCCTACTACTGTCTGAAGTTCTGGTTGCTCCTGCACCAGGCGGGCATGAGAACACCCACCCGGGTGGCGCACCCAGCTCTCCGCAGTCACTGTGAGAGGGGTGTTGATGGGCCGACGGGTTCTCACTGTTCATAACACCAAGGCCCCAGAACCGAAAGCCAGGGGCCCAGGTTGCTTTGGCCTGGGGTTCCTTCAACAACCAGACTTGCCTCAAAAGTCCCTGCAGTTCTTGGGCCCTCACACATTGGCTTGATCCCAGGCCTGTGCCCCGCCAGCCGGAGGGCCACAGGGAGCCACTGTCACCCCCGGCAGGCACTGCCTCTGCCTGCTGCACCTGCGGGGACAGTGACTGGCCTGGGGCGTGCAGGAGGTCTGCTGGTGGTGCGCCCATCGCTTCACTTTGTCCTGACTGTCGCAAATCCCCTCCCAGTCTAGCAAGACCCAGTCGTCTCCCTTTGGGATTGGCACGAGCCACAGCTACCCGGCAGACCCCTCCTCCTACAGCCCTCTCTCCAGCCCAGCCACCTCCTCACCCAGTGGGAACGCCTACTCCAGCCTCGCCAGCAGGACGCCGGGCTTCGGTAAGGGGGCGAGGGGTGCAGTCCTGGGAGAGCAGCAGAAACGCCTTCTGAGCATCCAGAGTTCGGGTGCAGCCCCAGCTCCCGGAGGTTTCCAAGAACCTCTCTCTGGCCTCGTGGGGGACTGTGGTGTTCCTAAGAGACCAGGTGCTTAGACCTTGGCCTTGTGATTTGCTGCTACCATTTCCAAGGACTGGGGTTGTGTCCTTGTGCTGCATGTGACCTGAAGGCCGTTCCAACCTTCGTAGCCCTCGGCAAGGGTTTTCAGTCCCCTAAGTCAAAAACCTATAGTCTTGTTTCAAAACACTAGAGAATAGTTACAGGGGCAATCAGTTGTGTAAATAACACTGTGGAGTTTTCTCTCTTTTTCATGTTAAGGGAGGGAGGGATCTCATGTAAGAACATCTGTCTCAGCTTGGCTCACAAAACCTCAGGCCACCAAGGGGTAAGGACCAGCCCTGCTCACTAGGCCTCAGTGAACCCTCGAACAGGCTGCCGGGCCTCCACTGTCCCCCAGAAGGGCTTGTGAGGGACCCGGGTCCTGAGGAGAAGCTGGTGCCTCTTTCTTTCTTTCTTTCTCTTTCTTTCTTTCTTTCTTTCTTTCTTTCTTTCTTTCTTTCTTTCTTTCTTTCTTTCTTTCTTTCTTTCTTTCCTTTTTTCCTTCTTCCTTTTTTCCTTCTTTCTCCTCTCCTCCTCCCTCCCCTCCCCTCCCCTCTCCTCTCCCCCCATCGTTGGTGATGCCCAGCAGTGCACAGGCCTTTTCCCTGCAGAACTGGGCTTTCTCGGGTGAGCAGGAAGCTGGATCCAAACATCCGAATGCCTGTGTGGCAAGGTGAAAGCTCCATTTAAGCTACCTGTCTGTCAGGCTCATGAGAAATGCCAGCAGAGCCCCCAGCCCAGCCCCGCCCCATCTCCACCTGGGATACCAGCAGGTCCCCCCACCCAGCCAAAGGGCCTGGGCCACAGCCTTCTCCATCCCCTCCTGGGGCCCTCCCCCCTGGGGCCCACTGGCCCCTCCAGCCTCAGTCCCCAGTACCCAGCTATCGTCCCATGTGCAGCTCTTACCAGTTCTAGCCTTGTCACTCGATGAAACTGCGTTTAGAAGTGCAGTTGCCTGTTTCAGGAGGGACAAGCCTGGAGGCAGCTGCTTTCCCGTCAGCCTGGTGCTCAGCTGAGGAGCCCTGACTCCCGGGAGCACGGAGAGCACCAGCTGCCCAGGGTCCCCCTGAGAACCTTCTCTGCGTCTGGCTGCCCCGCCCGGGTGTGGGGAGACCCTTGCCGCCTACTGTGGGATTCTGTGCAAAGGCACCTCGTCCCTTGTGACTCAGTCAGAGGCACTGACATGTGCAACAGCGTTCAGCGCCAGGCCCTGTGGATTCATTGTAGGACGGGGGTGGGGGAGCCCTGGCCCTGCCCAGAGAAGGCACAGGCAGAGACACAGGCAGGGGACACGGGCAGGTAGCGGGAGGCCGGCAGGATGGTGCTGCAGGGCCAGAAACCACAGCCTGCACGGTGGCCCTCGGGGTTGAAAGCCAGAATGGTCATTGCGTCTGGAGGGCCAGGAGAGGCTTCAGAGCAGAGCTGACCCGCGTCCTGGGCAGGGCCCTGGAGCCTTGTGCTATGGCCATGAGGAGACGGGGCAGACCACTTCCCTCCCCTGACAGCCAGCGCCTTCAGGTCGGTGTATCTGTCTTGTCCCCACTGAGCAAGCACCAGGTCCCAGTGTCAGTGGAGATGGCTCCCAGGAAGGACAACCCCAGGAAGAGGCCCTGCACAGGGACAAGAACAGGGTCGCACAAACAGGGCTCCAGGCGCAGCAGCCATGTCTGCAGTTTCCTTCGTGCTGGCTCCCACTGAGGTCGTGATGATGGTGACGGTACTGACGGCACAGCTAACCCTCCTGGGAGCTTCCCGGGCGCCAGCTCAGAGCGTCCATTTGATGCTCGCAGTGGCCCTAAGAGGGAGCTGCCATTGTCACTCCCATTTCACAGGCAAATAAGCTGAGGTGCAGTGAGGTAGGACAGCTTGCCCAGGGCCTTCTTGCTGCAGAGAAGCAGGGTCGTATCCGGGAGCAGAAATCAGACCTGGTGGCACATTTGAGGCCACGGCGCTCTGTGCTTCCTGCCAGCTTCCAGCCCTCCTCCAGGGACCCTAGGAGCAGGAGGAACTGGCTGTCTCCGCAGATGTGCCTTGATTTACATTGATGAGAAGGGGCTGGGCCCCCAGTGCGGGACGGGAAGAAAGTATAAAGCAGAGACATCAAGGACTGAGTGTTCGCTGTGGCCTCAGTGTGTCCCGTGTTGCCTCTGGCAGGAGCTGTTGGAGCAGGCCCGGGTGTGAGTGTGTTCGGGAGCCGAACTGCGGAGCAGGGGCGGGTGGTGATGAGGGGACAGGCCGAGGAGGGGGCAGGAAGGGTGGCTGGGGCTTGGGAGGGGGAGGAAGACCTGTGGGGGGACCCCCCATGGTGAGGAGGCGGCAGGAGGGCAGCCAGGGTGGGCAGCCAGGCCCAGGCAGAGCTGTCTGGCTGGGGTTAGCTGGGCAAAGCAGACTGGAGGCAACTGCAGAGGGGTACACCAGGCTCCCTCCTGATGATGGGGTTATCCTCCACTCTGGGGGTCCTGGCGGGGGCTTGGGGGGGCAAGCTTAGGTTAAGCTGCAGGGCAGAGGATGTGCAATTAGCAACAGGGCCTGTGGGTTGTTTGCTAGCAAGGACAAGGACGGTGGTCCCCTGAGGGCGCAGCGGGAGGGTGCAGGGAGTAGAGCAGGGGACGGGTGAGTACAGGGGGAGGAGAGCAGTCTCCGCTAATGGGCGGTTTCATTAATTATTAAATAAACAGAAAACAGAAAAACCAGGCAGTGTTTGCGTTTGCAGTGGACACAGGCCCTGCCCTGCACATCTGAGCAGCTCCCCAGTGGCCTTCTGAGGGCGTGTGAGAGACAGCGGCAGGCTTGGCGCGGCCCTGACGGGTCCCCAGCTAGGTGTCCTTGGCCAGAGACCGGAACCCAGAGAGGCAGCACAGTGATCCTGACCTCGTGCCCCTGCTAGAGCTGGCAGGGCGCTTGGAATGCCTGCTGAGCAGACTTGCGGGACGTCACCCAGGGGTGGCCCAGGCAGCTGACACCAGGGGCAACAAGCATACGTGTCACCTTTGAAAAGTGCTTCAGCTGCTGCCGGGCTCCTCAGGACGGCTTTATACACTAAGCTGGTGCATTGAATGGGAAGTGGCCCTGCCTGGCTCTCAGCCATCTGGGGACAACGTGGTGGTTTTGGTACCTGAGCTTCTCTGTCCAAAACATCCCTTCCATTTTGGGTCTGTTGAGTTCTCTTGAGCTACAGCTATTGTCACATCCATGTTTCCAGTCTTAGTTTGGTTTCCATTTCGACTCGGGTCATAGAGAAAACGTAGCCATGGGCGATGGAGCACCCGGAAGCAGCACTCGTGTCTGTCCAGCCGTCAGGAGACAGAAGTCACGCCAGTTACTCGAACGGGGAGAGTTTAAAGGTTTTTTAGCTGATAAAAGTCGGTACAGGGGAAGCCTGAAGAATCAGGAGTCACATGTGTGAGCAGCAGCGCCCAGCTCTGTGGACGAGGGACAGTGGACGAGAAAGGACCTGAGAAGTGGCAGAGGAGACCTCGCCCCTGAGCTGGAGGCGCAGCCCTGGCTGGAGAGCTGTGTCTGTCGAGACACGCGCTGGAGGCCGTGGCGGCCCAGAGGCCGTGGCGGTGGGTCCGAGAAGTGCCGCTGCCTGAGAGACTCTGCGGGGGGCGCAGGGGAAACAGGACTGGCCATGGAACCTCCCACCAGATGGCCACGGGTCCCCAGCGAGGCCTGCAGGGGGAGCTGCCCCCAGGAAGCAGCACTGGGGTGGCAGCGTGGACGCCGCCCCACTCCCCCACTCTCTGGGGCACACTGTCGGAGGACCCCAGCCCTTCGCCTGGGGACAGAAGCCCTGTCTCGCCCTTCCTCTGCGTGTGCCCACGCCTGGCCTGTCTGTGCAGCGTCCTTGTGGACGAAGCCTGGCGCAGCTCCAGCTGGCAAAGGAGCAGCGTTTACAGGGTGTAGTGTCGGCGTCTCGAAGCAGGTAACTGACAGCTGGCAGAGTGAATTCCAGCTGAGCCCCTAAGTCACCATTTCTTTCTGTCTCAGCTGCTTCAGAGAAACACAAGGAGCCAAGCGCACATGCTGCTCAAGGAGAAGCGGCTCGAAGGTGCTGTGGCAGGCCAGGTTTTCACTCCCCGCCTTGCTCCAAGTGTGGCGTGTGCGTGTTTGTAGAGAGGTGAATGACGTCATGCTCTCAGCAGCAGCTTCTGGCACAGCGTCTGGGCGAGCACACGCATGTCCCTAGCTTCCTGTTCCCTGTGTGCTCTGCGGTTCAGGAGGAGGCAGCTGGAGCAACTCATTCATGCCTGGCGCAGGTCACACCCGGGCAACGCAGGTCAACTCAGGTCATGGCAACGACACGAGCAGCTCTGAGGACAAGCATCTTCCAGGAAGCTCAACAAGCAAACCGTAGCGTTGGCCCTTCCTTAAGAGAGCCTCGTCCTTCCTAGCCTGCCTGCCTGTGCCGTATTTACTCTGGAGAGGGGAAGTGAAAGAATTTGTTATTCCGAAAGGTCTGAAGATCCTCTCAGTGAGAAACAGAATGCGTAACACGAACAGGAGCAGGGCAGGGTAAGCGTGGAGACAGAGGGGGATTTCTATGACCCGAAACGTTTGTGGACCCCACAGACCCTCTCACTCCCAGCCCCTGCCGCCAAAACTCAGCCCTGTACGTTCTCAGCAGTGAATTTTGGGGAGTCATACATCTCTTCGTCCCCACTGCTTAGTGTCAAAGGTGCAGCCTCAGCCAGAAGCCTCAGGCGGTCTGTGGTCCTGGCTATGAGGTGCGGTTTTCTTCTGCCAAGAAGGACTTTGCAAGGGGGTCAGCTGCCTCTTTTTTTTTTTTTTTTGAGACAGAGACTGGCCGTGTTGCCCAGGCTGGAGTGCCATGGCGTCAGCCT